CAGTTTATCAAAATTTTCCATCAAGATTCCGAATCTTTGCCTTCTCCCCTTGCTCTACATACCTAGATCTCAACCCATCTTTGCATAATCATTCTCCATTGAAAGGAGCCAAAAAACTCAAATCTTCATGCTTCAAATAAAAATGTAGAGAACAAATCAAACATGGAATGAACCAAATCTGAAACCAAAGAAACAATCCATTTTACAATTTTGAAGAAAAAGAATTAGAAGTGAAAATGATTATTGTTTTGGCGCCTAGTGTAATTTGGCCTATAAAATAGGGAAGAAAAAAAGAAAAAATTTTTTTATTAGCAAGGAAAAGTTAATTCTTGAGATATAACTTTTATTTTTTATTTTTTTGGTACATAAGAAATTAGATAGAAAAAAGAGCAAAACTAAGACTAAAGGAACAAAGTCCCTATATCATCCCTATGAAGGATACTTCCAGTGCCGACAGGTGGCTTTGCAAACAAAGTGGTACCATGAGAGAGATTTTGGTCAATAGCAACCATGTAATCAGCGACAAAGTTGCCCTCCCTAAGAGTATGTTGAACACGATACTTTGAAAAGGTGCTTAAAAGGTGAAGAGTGTCTGAAAACAAAGTTGAAGCTATGCCTTCCACCCCTTTCTTCGCCTAGAGCATTTGAACTACCAAGAGAGAATCCATCTCTAGGATTTAATGGGTGATGCCAAGATCAAATGCCATGTGTAGCCCCTCATGGCACCCCCAAAGCTTTGCCATAAAACTAGATTGTTGTCTAATGCTTAAGGCAAAACCATGCACCTAATGACCTCCATGATCATGGATCTAGCTGCCAATACTAGCTTTAGCTGTAGCATGGTTCATGACCCTATCTATATTTAGCTTAAAGAAAAGAAAATCAGGTGGGAACCATCTTACCCAACGAAGGGCTTAAAAGTGGCCTAAAATATGTGAAGCCAAAGCCATTCTTATGTTCAAGGCTAAGGAACTGGCCTACTAGATCACAGTTTGAGGTGGTGCCTCTTTCCCTTCAACACCAATGCATTCCTACTCTTCCATATGTACCAAAAGAGAGATAGAAAGAGCATGGACCAGTGCTTATGATACCCTCCTATAAAAGAAGTTGAAATTGCATTCTGGTGTAGCCAATCATCCAAGTTCAAATTAAAGAAACCTATTGGCAAAGAGGATGTAGATTCCCATACTAGATGAGAATAATAATAGTCCCTTAAAAGATGTGGAGTTGTCTCTTGGCCTTGTTCGCATCTTGGGCATGTGGGTGAAGCTATAAAGTGTTGTTCGAATCTAAGGGAGTTTGTGAGTAACTGTCCCTCTCCTCAAAAGCTATATAAACAACTTTATTCTCTCAACACACTGTAATTTCCAAATCCAACTTGAATTACCTAATTAATAATGCATAATTATGAATTGTTGTTGTAATAAATAGAAAGCAGATTTGCCACAAAAGACTCCATTCTAGGAGCCGTCCTAGTAGATCCCATCCTCATATTGTCCAAAAGCTAATAATGGTAATGCCAAAATCTAGTTAACCACATACTCTGGAAGGATTTGTCACAAAACAAGGAGTATTCCATGTCTGATCCAGCATAATAACATGAGAAATAGTAACGTTAATCTAATCCTGGGGCACTAGAAGTAGGGTATCATACAACAAGGGCTTATCACCTATCCATGTATACTACCAAAAATTAATACTCTCGCTAGTACTAACTCTCCACCATAGAGCCAAACTCAAAACATCTTTACTCAAAATACTCTTCCATGTAGCGGAGCATGATGAGCTAATGTGTCAGTTAATAAAAGTCTCTTGCTGTAAATACTTTTGTTTAAAAGCCCTACACCATGGCTTTAATAGATCAGATAGCATTTGCCAACCAAGTTTTGCAATTAAAACATGGTTGTTATCTTTGGTCGAATGTATACCTAGATCCCCATAATCTCTTGGCTAGCAAACAAAGTGCCAATTAACTAGGTGAGGTTTATTTGCCACATTAAAAATCTAAAGGAAGTTTCAATTCAAACAATCCATGGCTGAATAGATAGAATTTAATAAGAGGATTGACTACATTGTGTATGTTGGTACTGCAAAAGTAACTAATTGAACAAAGACTCTTCTCCTTACCATGCTCAGCAGTTTTTACTTTTAACTAGACAATTTCACTTGAATTTTCTCAAGTACTTATAAGTAGATGTTTGCTTGCCATGTAAAATGGAAACTCCCAAATAGTCTCCCATATCAGTTATTAAAAGGATACCACAAACACTACTGAGAGAGCTCGCTACATGCCTTTGTATATTAGGTAAGGTATAAAGCATAGATTTAGCTAGATTAATTTCTAGCCCAGACTCATTGGAAAATTCCTTTAAGTAGTCCATGACCATCGCCACTTGGGTTTGAGTTGCATCATAAAAGAGCATGAGAACACTTATAAAGAATAGATGCGAAAGCTCTAGCCTTCTTCTAGATATTTTGAAAAGCAACCAAACTCTGGATTGCACTCAGCTTTGAATTTTATGGGAGAGCTTCTCCATAACCATAATAAATAAATACCGGGAAAGTGGATCACCTTGGCATAAGCCTCGCTATGGTTGAAAGGATGGCAACTCTTCCCCATTCTAGAGAACACTAAGCTATAAAGATGTTACTGAAAACATAATCAGCTGGATAAGAGGAGCTGGTATATTAAAATCTTCCAAAAGTGTACAGAGAAAATCCTAGTCAACATTATCGTAAGCCTTGTAAAGATCAATTTTGAAAACAAGAGCACTTTTCTTCCTTTTAGACCTACGCATCGAATGAATAACTTCCTGTGTGAGAAGAATGTTGTTTGTAGTGCTTCTTCTTACAAGAAAGCTGTTTTGAAAAGGCCTAATTAGCTACTGTAATAAGGGCCGTAGCTAGTTCATAATAACCTTGGGAAGCACTTTATAAGCCATGTTTAACAGACAAATAGGGTGAAACTTTTGAATGACATCAAGACTTTCTTCCCTTGGTATAAAAGCTACGTATGCCTAAAGTAGCAAAGGTTCAAAGTATCCATTTAAGAGAGCATGGTTAATGAAAGACATTAAAGTATCAAAAACCACTTCCGAATGCTTTTGATAAAAAGTTGGCTGAATACCATCAAGGCCTAGACTTTTTAGAGCTTTCATGGATAACAGTGTAGACTGAATTTTGTATAGAGATATAGGCAACAAGAGTAAAGCACCTTCCTTATTGGATAGCCTCAGTTGAAAAGCGGAATAATCGAGATCAAAAGATTGAGTGTTCTTTCTTGTGAAAAGATCCATAAAGAAATCTCTAATGTGCTATTGTAATATAAAAGGTTCTTTTACCCAATTACCATCAACTTTCAAGGTTGAAATTATGTTTCTATTCATTCTAACTATATTGGTAGCATGATAGTAGCTCATATTTCTATTGCCTCAAGCAATCCATTCCACATGTGACTTTTGACACCAAAACAACTCTTCTGAATAGAGAACATGATCATACTTCTCTAATAACTTTGAATCCAAACCTTACAAGAACCTAGAGATAGGATAATGGACAGAATTCTAAATACCCTTAAGACGACCCTTGAATTGTCTTTTATGGCAAAAGAGATCACCAAACACATCCTTATTCTATTGCAAACTTGCCTCTTGTATGGACTTTATGGCATTTTCTATTGAAGACCAATGTGTAGACCATGCATCAACAAAAATTGATCTAAAAGTATCATGGTTAACCACATAGCTTCAAAATGTAAGGGTTTAAAAGTCCTATGCATTAAGAGTGAGGAATCCAAGCAAAGTAAGAGTGGGTGGTGGTTGTTGCATAACTGTGGTAGATTAATCACCTTAGCATTTGGAAAAGACTCAAGTGCCATAAGATTAAAAAGTGCACTATCTAGCCTTTCCTACAAGAGTACTTTACCATTCTGCTTATGAACCCAAGTAAACTTGCAACCCATGGAAACAGTAAAGTGTAAACCACAACTTGAAACTGTATCTCAAAACCGTTATGTATGGACAAAGCCCTTGGTTGTTTGAAGAAATGCCTCTTCTATTGTAAAAATATCATTAAAGTCACCCATCACCACCC